TCGGGACACCTTTATTATTATTATTATTATTATTATTATTATTATTATTATTATTATTATTATTATTATTATTTCTCTTTCCATTTTCCTCAGTGTTTTCACATGCGGGAGTAGTTTAGAGGTGGGACAGCACTTGTTACCCTTTCAGCGTCCCCCTTGTAGCTGAGGCTGCTGTCAGCCTGTGGCAGCTCCTTGTTACGGAGGCCTAAGCTACCGCCCTGGTGTTGCTCCCCAGTCTGTGCTGGGGGAGAAGGAGCGGAGGGCAGTTTGGTTTGAGCTGGTTTGCAGGAAGGCTTCTCTGCCTGGATGTTCCCAACACAGGCTCAGGCTTCAGGGATAGGTCAGGACAGCCACGGAGTGCAGCAAAGGGGCCAGGCTCAAATCTGCCCGTGTGAGATCCATGTGTGCTGGTGCTGTGCAGCTCGCAGCGTGTCCCTGCAGTGCGTCATGTAACTGCAGCCAAAATCAGAAGCAGTCAAGCTGTATGCATTAATGTAACCCCCAGTTGCCCTAGTTTAAAGGATTTCGGTTTTGGCATGAATATCACTTGTGGCAGTTTTCAGGTGGCTTGTACTTTCTGGGGGGTGGGCTTTTTCCACCAACTTTTTTAGCATGCCTATATCTCTTAACTTCTTCCTTCTGCCTTTAGATGGAAGGAGGGAGAAAAGGAGAGTGGATGGCATAGCAGAGCAGTCATGGTTTAGCCTAGAAGTTCCTGCTGCAGGAGTGTATGAAATGTGGCTCACAAAAGTGATATTTTCCATTTTAGATGGTCTTGCTGCGTCTCCATGAGCGGCTTTTTGGCATATTGGAGGTTGAGTTGAACCATACTCAGTATCAAAGGCCATTGACTGGTTTTCCAAAGTGCTTGGTGACTTTCTTCTTGTCATTTAAGTACTTTAAAAGTGGAAGCAGAAGCTGGAAGCAAAACTGATTGAGAAAAATGTTTACATCTTGTGTGTGTCTGCAGTCATTCGTGAAATTCTCTTAAATCAGAGATCAACAGTGTTCATGCAAAACATGAGAGCATTTTTTCTAAGTTTCTAGGTAAAATGTGATTATAAAATATAAACAGTGATGTAATTGTAAAATGCAATAATATAAAGCAAAGCGTGATCTTGCTACTCCAAAATGTGTTCCACCTCCTTCCTCAGGTTTCTTACAGTTTTTATAACCCGATTCAAAAACACATACTTCTTATACCCATAAGTGGCATGGGCCCAGAGTTTTTTCCTATAGTTCATGCTACACCCAAGTGGTGTGATCTTCCTGTAAGCCTGCAGAACAGAGCTGAAAGGAAATTAATGCAAATCTCTTCTGTGGCAGTTCTAGGCACTCGGCGCGGGGGTTTCCCAAAGAAGTGGGATCGGAGGCAGGGTTTTTGTGCAGGCTCTTGTGCGCTGGGCCAAGCAGTGGAGAGAAGGTTATCTCCGTTACAGAGCAAACAAATGCCAGTGGAAAGACCCTTTTCTCTCCTGCTGCATAGTGCTGTATAGCTGTTTCTAGAAGCAGGGTGATATTTAACTTGTCCAAAAGCTTAAAAATAAGAGCCAAACAAAATATTTACCAAATATTTTATCTAGGGATAACTTCCTTATGAGGAGAAGAAACATTGCTAGGGAAAAGGATATAGTGATGTCACATTTTTTATGAGTTTTTTTTTTTTCATTGTACATAGAATTTTATCCTCGTTAAAGGAGTTTGGCTGCAGCAACTTGACAGGAGAGTTTATTCAGTGGTTTAAATTAAACCAGATTTCTCCTGGCTGGCTTGGCTTATGTGATAGGGAAGTAAAGGGCTGAGTGTCTCTAGTCGGGTGGAAACCAGTACTTGGTAGCACAGTGCTGGCTCACCGTGGCAAAGATGAGGGAGTGTGAGGGGGTGTTCAAGAATTTCTCAGTGTCGTTTGGCTTTCATGCAGGTGTTTCAGCAGCGCTATGGGCAAGCCTGACAGAAAGAGGTCACCAGGCTGGTGGTAGCTCAGGTAAAAGTTCCCCACTTGCTCTCCCTGCTTTCCACTAAATCCTGTCCCTAAAGGAGCATAAGCGATGCATAATGTAACGCAAAGAAGGAAGGTCGCTGCTTTCCTAAAGAACTGCAGTCTCCAGGCAGGATGAATCCCCTCTCCCGCCAAGATGTTTTCTTTGCCTTGTGAGGGTGTTGTGCGATAGTGATTAGCAGTGAAGACCATCAAGTCCCAGAGAGACAAACAAAGCATGTGCCAATTTGGGCTAAAGCCCATCATCTCTTTCCAAGTTCAGAAATTTGACATATTTCTGATTTCTTACAGATATTCTGGAGTGCATTTTTTTTGCAATCAGGCTCTTGTATTCAGAGGAAAAGGACAATAGTGCTGCACTTTACATCTGTTTGCAAAAGAGAGAAAATAACTTTCTTCAGATCTGTTCACCTGTGGCTCCTGTTTTGTCAGCAGTGCATAGGGTCCAGTTTAGATGGAACTGGATGAGACACTTGCAAGGAGTGGAGCAGGGTGTCACTGGTCACTCAGGAATGAAATGCTTTCCCTTATGAATTAATTTTAAACTTGTGCTTGGAGAAGTCGGGTCTGTTGCAAGGAAGGAAGTATCATTTTTCTAGGTGAGAAAATAGTATCTTAACGGTTTGTGGCATCTAAGGGATCTTATGGCACTGTTTCCAAAGAAATGGTGTTCTCTTGCTTAAACTGCTTTGGGACCAGACATTGTGGATGTTCTGTGAATCTCAGCTCTACTTCTCACACTAACTTGTGGTCTGCTTTTTGTTCTTGTCTAAATGAAGTGGAATGTTTTTGTATTCACTCTAACATACTGCTGCTTTCTGCTTCTAGCTGTGGAGAAACTTTTCTGCTTCTTTGGGTCTTCTCTGGTCCATTGAATGCTAACGCATGGCATGTATATTCTGCTGCAGAGCTTACCTGTGCAAAGATCTTATGAAGGCTGAGGTTTTTCCAGCCAAACATGATTGAAAGTTATAGAAATTGAGATGGAAAAAGCCATGAGATCATGTAGTTCCCACGTGCGCCCTCAGCCCCGGACAGGTTTGTTTGCAGTGCTACATTTTTGGTGCTTTCCAGAAGGGGTCACTGCAGGTCAGTGTTCACTATTTGCATCCCGCCGCCTACCTCCCCTCCCCCTCCGTGAAAAATTAGGAAATCTGAATCTGGCGAGAAGTAGTTTAAATAATGTCTGAGACTATTGCTATGGCTTGTGATTGGGCGTTGGGTGATCAAAAGCAATAGAAAAGTGTTGAAGACTGACAAGTGATCATCCAGGATTTTAGAATAGGAAATTCACTGAACTCTTAAAATGTATTTTAGCCACGTACATTTATTAAATATCACAAATCCTGAGAACTAACTGTTCTGGGACTACTTGCTTGTAGCAAGAAAGAGAGATTCATGGATTTATCCTATCACATAGCCCCTATTTAAAAAAAGTGCATCACAATAACGTTTTTATGGTTATGCAAAAGGTGGATGATTCACATTGAATTGCTGGTTGTAAAAAGCAAGTGGAAAAAAAAGAAACCTTACATCTGAATATGGGAGGAGGATAACTCACAATCACTTTTCACCAAAAAATGCACATCAGTGTCCGCAACCATGCAGAGTCACTGCTGTACAGAAACTTTTCTGAAGATTGCCAAGTGTCACAAGTTTGGTGGGGCTTAGATGCTATTGCACGTTTGTCTTGTGTAGGTGAATCAGGTGGCCTGGTAGAGGGCAGGTGGACGCTTCTCCACAAGAACGGCTGCCCGTTCAGCCAACAGCTTCCACCAAATGTCCGTGTCCATGAGGGAGTGACAGCCAGCTTATGAAACACATTTCAGAAGGTGGAAAAGAATGATATTGCGACATTAATATTTTGAGGTGTGGAGGGAGATGAAGAAGGGGTTGGAGGTGGGAAGAAGGAAATACTGCAAAGGGAACAGAGAAGAGATGGGCCTCTCGCAGGAGAATGAGCAGCTTGCTTGAAAATAACTTGTTCATGTTTTCATTTTTTTTTCCTCCAGTGAATATGGTTATTTTTGAAGTAAAATAACCAAGTAATAATTTCATTACATTTTCTTCCAAGATTTCAAGCTAAGTGTAAACAAGAGAAATCCAGTGGGGATATTAATCCAACTTCCTTTTTCAATAGTGCTTCAGTTCTGTTTCACCCTGCTCCTTATACATTTCAGCTGATATAATTCTTTTACCCACTACCTGTGGCATTACTGACTCCAATTTAAATACCTCATTGAAGGCATTAGTTAGAAGGAAAAAATTTTAAGATCATTTAAATTTATTCCCAGGTACAAAAATGGTAAGTTCTGAGATTTTCAGTGTTTAAAAATGTAGTAATGGCTTTGGACATTTTGGAAATTTTCCATATGGGCAAGTCAGAATGATGGAAAACAACTGAACCACTGCACTGAGATTTGATCTCTGGCAATTAGTACTTGGGCTGCATGGGAGAATCAGAAGGAACAAAAACTCTGTAACAACACCATGGCAATCAGACCGGCAAACTTCCAGTAGCTTTAATTTTTCCAGATGTTAAGTGTCTTTTTTTTTTCCCAGGTGAAGGAAAGATAAAAAAAAAAAAAGTAAAAGAAAAAAGAGAGGATGAAAATCATGAGTTTGTAAGTGATGTTTGGCACAAAGACTACTACAATAGTGTGTGTTTAGATAGCAGTTTGACTGAAATGCAGGCAGTGTTAATTTGCATTAAATGAAGAGAGAAGGATTATCTGCCCTATAAAGCTTTTTTTTTTTCCCAGGTGAAGGAAAGATAAAAAAAAAAAAAG